TCGGAAAAATGAGCGCGGAAATTAACGTTTCTGCAGTTTTTAATTAATATCTCGGCCGATTAAAGTCGTACGAAGATGAGAACGGTATCGATGGATTCGAAGACTTTTTTGGAATCCGAGGATACGCGTCTCGAATTTCAACACTGCGCCGTTCCGTAAATATTCGAGAGAAAATAATTTGGCACGTAGCCAAATCTCTAATAGGAAATTCAACCCAAGAAAGTGCAAACATGTGGAAAACGTACGGGAAAATTAGTTTTTAATTAATATCTCGGCTAATTAAACTCCCACGAAGACGCGAATGGATCAAAATTGGCGTGCCACGGACCTGCGGAATCCAATTGTGTGCTTCGCTAAGCCCGGGAGCCAGCTGTTTTCGGAGGCCATGAGTTCTTCACCCCATATATATACGCGGCTTTAAGTGTCTGTTTGTCGCCGATAGTTTATTTGGTTGCTTGCGTAACTGTGCTAGCCAACGGGGTGAAGTTTGCTATTAGCAGACACCTTTGCACACAGCACATGGTTGCCGTTTCAATTCAGACGTAGACAATTTCCTGTAAAACTTGCCTTTGCTATGACCATCCATAAGTCTCAGGGCCAAACGCTTAAGCGTGTTGGCATTTTTTTCCTGAGCCTGCATTTGGAAACGGTCAACTTTATATTGCCTGTTCAAGAGTTCATGAAAGAACGGCCGTAAAATTAAAAAATAACTGATGGTCCTCTGCAAGGCGAGCTTAACAATGATTGAAAGATCTACACAAGAAATGTTCTGCACAAAGAGATCTTTGACATGTGAATTAACATTTTATTATTTAAATCACCTTTATTTATTGAGCTAGCGGTGGTTTCAAAAGAAATGTACCGCCAGTGGTTTCCTTCATTGCACTCTACTTTAAGCAATTAAGCAAGTAGAAGGGGGGAACCCCGTGGGGCAGTAAGCAAAGGGGCGTCCTCGCCGCCTGCCCTGGGTAATTCAGTTTGAATTAGCAGGCACTTTTGCACAAATGATTTTAATTACAATTTATAATATCCAGAACAGCGGTCATTTCGTATGACCGCCGGGCTGTCTAGTATATATATACACACGTTTGGTGCGGCCGATAGCACTGAAAAAGGGAGTTGCACAACTATATGTTATAGGAGTCTCACATTCAAAATTTCAACGTTCTAAGGTCACTCGTATTTTGTCTTTACTCGGGATAAATACATATGTACGTACGTACAGGCGTCATGAGAATAATCTCTTCTGAATCCATTTTAAATCCATTTTCCAATCCGTTTTTGAAAAACAGTGCTTTTTTTCTGTGCGTATGTACGGATTTCACGCAAAAAAAATTATTTAAATGGATTCAAGAGCGGTAAAAATGGATATTTTAGTTAAAATACAATACCCGAAATTTTTCACGATTACTATTACTTTCTTTACTTCGTACGAGGAAGTAAAAATCCATCAAAATATGTTTCAATTTTTTTTAGACTGGAGAAGAAATTCTGCTCATAAATAGCAGTTTCGTATGCAGCTATTTCAGACCATCAAATACAGTGACTTAACGCTAAAAACGCTCATTTAAAATTAATATTACTGTATTTGTATTCTTATTTATATGCCTCCTTGTTTGAACTAATACGGGCTGTTGCCATTTAATAATTCATATTATTTATTACAAAACAGATTGTTTTTTCTTCGACAGTATAAATGTTTAAGTGCTCTCGATTTAAATGAAAGTTTGTCATTATTATGTTAAACAAATATTGAATTTAAATATGATTATTGGGATGTCATCGAAATACTATTCTTCAGTTCAAACTTTTTTGAGTGGTTGGTGATGTTACCATTTAAGTGGAAGCTCTAATAACATGCAATGAGGTATTTCCTACATGATTTGGAAATTCAATTTTCAATAAGGAATTCAAATTTTATATTAAGTATTGCTTCTCGTGGAACATAAAAGAATTCATTCTACATGTTTTTCAATTCATTCTACGATTTACTTCCTTGTACGAAGTAAAAAGGAAGTAATCGCGAAAAGTTTCAGGCAGCATATTTCAACGAAAATATCCCATTTTGACCTCTTTAAAATGCAATTTAACGATGTATTTCCATGATATCTGTATGTAAGGACAGAATAAAACACGCTTTTCCACCAAAAAATTATAAAACTGCTTTAAAATGAATAACGAAGAGAATTTTTCGTGGCGTTTGTACGAACGTATGTACTTACGTGCGTACGTATCTCGCATAACTCAAAAACGAGTAGCCTCAGAACGTTGAAATTTTGTATATAGGACTGCTATAACATGTAGATGTGCACCTCGTATTTTGGTTGCAATCGGCCGCACCAAACGTATATAAATATATTTATATATACTATATCCACTCTGTTACCCGCCTCAGTGATCTCAGTTTCTTTACTCTTATATGTTTGTAAATTGTACATTTTTTGCTTTAAAAATGATTGTATTATGTTGTTTTTATCTTTCGGTTAAGGTTTTTATGCCTTTAGTAAATCTGTATGCAATAGTTTTAGAATTATCAACAATTTTAAAGATGTCAAGTGCCGCTAAGACTTTTTTTAATGGCGGCCATTGATGTTTACATTTGAAACAGGAGACTAGTGGATTTGTTGCCAATCCAGAGAAACTTAGCTTCGCAACAACAAAGATAACGCATTCATTTATTATTGCCAATTAAATCATGCTTAATTCTTTCTGGAATTTTTTCGAGGAAATAAGTGTTTAAGATTTACTTCGTAATTTTTAATATAGATATTTTGAGTTTTTATGTATTTTACCTTCTCGCGAAGTGAGAACTGAATTAATTAAATGAGAAATACTCAATCGTCTGTGAGAAACTGTTTCTTTTTTGTTTTGTTTGCTTAATTTCTTTTATACATCATTCTAGCTTTATTATAGTATTGGAATAGAAGATGGTGGCAACAATTAGATAATTCTATTGTTTAAATGATATAATTTTGTGCATTATGAGTTATAATATGAACGAAATATATAAGTTAACTGTTATATAATTATTGGATTATATAACAGTTAACTTAGTTTCCGTTATATAACTATTACATAAGTTAACTTTTATATAATTATTAATACTGTTAAGTGAATCTAGCGCCAGAGTGTCGCTATCGTAAACAAATACTAGAGTGAATTTTAAAGAATGCATTTATTCTATTGTGGTTTATGCGCTGTCGGCGAAGTAGATTTAATTCAATCCAATAAGTTTAAATGAAATGCAAGAAAAAATGCTTATAATTTAATATTCCAATTTAATATTCCAATACAAGGAAGTCATGTGGTGTACACATCAGATTTTTTTACTAGCAATTCAGCCAGTTCCTTTAGAAAATTTAGATCATTTTTGAAAATACAAAGTCTTTTACAATGAACAAACTGAAAAATATGAAGGACATTCTAAACTTATGAGAAAAGTTTTTATTGGGAAACTTTAAAACTTGTAATACCAACATCACATATTTTATGCCTATATTAAGTGTATGCACATAACTTTGTCATACTAATTACAGTGGCAGAAATAAATCTGTGTGTAAGCAGACAAATCTATTTCAAGATAGGCCAAAGTACATCTTTCTATCGCATTAGTACATAATTAATGTACATATTTCTACTCATTCAATATATCATGCATTTCTCTTCATTCGAATTGAGTTCTGGATTTATGCATGTTTACGCAAAACTAATCTGATTCAACAATTTACTACTGAGCAATTCTGATTCTGATGCAGCACATCATATATATATATATTCTTCAGGCAAATGTGATTTAGAAATGATCAGTCCCATATATTCCTATTAGACAATTTTTTGGAATTAAAATGAATATACATTTCTAACCGATAAATATAATTCGAGGGTAATTAATACAGATACTTTTATGAAAACTGTTTTTACCCTCTTGAAGTTTTATAAAATGCATGAAACATTTATATAGAACTAATAACTGAATGTTTTCTATTAAAAATAAATTCTTATAAAAAACATAAATAAATTTTAATTGAGTATTTTTTAAATACATTATTTAATAAAATAATTATTTTATTTAAAAACAGGCTTTCTGTATCTGATTAGATATTAAAAAGGAGAAAGAGTAAAAGTGTCTAAACCTAAATTTTTTTATATATGCATCTTTCTGTGTGAACTAACATTAAAGCAGCTATTTCTCGGATGCTTTAAATATATATTCTTATTTCAAAGACTCTAACAAATAAAAAATGCAATACTATATTTTTCCTCTTAGTAGAGATAAAAATGTTTCTAATTTCTTTAGAATTAAAGAATATATGGAACTTGCTTATGCGTAGACTATGTTAAACGGTATTTTAATTCACAAGCAACCCACACTTTAATGAGGCGGGAATACATTTATGCTTAATTAAATAGCTCAACGAATGCAGTTTACGCTAATTATGTTGAATACTGCTAAAGAATTTCGTTACCGTATTTTTTAAGTCTGTTTTTTGCTTAAATATATGCATTTTATGACTTCTAACTTTCATTTAGATGCAGATTTGCTTACTATCTTCAAAAAGAGGACCTTTAAAACTATTTCACTGAATCAATCGTTTAATAAAGTGTAATAAAAAAGTGCAAAATTTACCTTGCACGAGAGTTTAGTGATTTTGTAAATCTTTTGCAATCTTTTGCATCTATAATTCTTAATAGGTATTCTACTTACGGTAATAAAATATTCATTTTAATATTAAAACAGTGTTTTGTTATTCTGAAGGGTAGCTAATAAGGCAGACTAAACAGCAAAAATTCTAATTAGTTTTCGATTTCCTTTATTACAAAATAAAAATTCGTCTCAGTTTTTATTACTACGGCTGAAGTAAAAATCAGAGTAGTAAAGCTGTAACACTGAATCATAAGTAAAAGTACTAAATCACAGGATTTTCGAAAATTATTTTTGAAGTATCTCTTCATAGGAGGTGTCGGAGGTTTCAGATAGTGGAAGGTTCGGGGAAACCTACTTTCCTATACTAGATACCAGGTATACCCGTCTTCCGTCATTTATACCAGTTCTGTTCATTATTAGAATACAACTACAAAGTGTAAAAATTCAAAAGCTATCCTACTTTACAATGTTTTTATTTTGTCTTATATTTTTAATTTTCTCAGTTTATTTCAGTTATAGAAAAGTTATTCTTTTACAGAAATTAGACTCGTTCTTAAGCAAAATCAATACACGAGAATCATGCACAATGTTAAATATTTTATTCAAACCAAATTAATTGCACAAATACAATGCTTAATTCTAACCAATTACTGCAGGTTTCCATGCAAAATAACCATCTGAGCTTGTTGTAAAAAATTAAGAGCGCAATTAAAATACAATTTATTGACCGTCAGCTCTGGCAACATCACAAGCAGATACGTTCAGATCTCTCTATTTTAAATACGTAGAACCCTCTGAAATTTTTAAGATTGGCGCAGTGGCAGAGAAAAACGTTAACTGTCAGATTTGATAATCTGAACTATTTTAGCCATCAGACGATTTGTTTTACTTGCCAACTGCAAGTAGGTTAGGCAGAAGGAAAATTGTAGTCGATGCGAGAAAATTATCACGCTACAATTGTCTATGATTTTAAAATGCGATTAAATCAAGAATACGTTCAATGTTTACAGTTAGCATTTGGAAATGAAGATCCATCTCGTGCCACTGCATTGAGATCGTTTACGGAATTTGATAGGGGCCGCAACTTTCTTCAAGATGAAGAACACACAGGAAGGTCGTTGTCAGAGGTAGTCTCGGATAATGTGTCTGCCATAAAGAAAATTTCAATCAATGATAATCGCTGCATCTACCAAATGACACAGAAGGAACTTAACATTGCATCTTCTGCCATACATAAAAATATTCATGAAGAACTACATTTGCCGTTTCCTCATAATTTAACTAAGCACCAAAAAGAGAATCCTGTTAGAATCAGCAAAGAAACTCTTAAATTTTCTAAAGATGGTGGCCACGACATTATTTATGAAAACGTAACTGATGATAAAAACCACCGTTTTTTGACGTTCCAACACATCAAGAAAGTAAAATATGGGTCTTAGAAGATGATCCCACGCCAACAATGGTAAAAAGACAACGTGCCATGAAAAACATAACGTATGGCGTTTTATTCAAAAGTACAAAACTGGTCAAAGCCGTCAAGCTGGAAGGACAGAAGACAGTCACAGATACCTGGTACACCACTAAGTGTTTTCTAGAAATTCTTCAAGAAGTGTATGTCAGAGGACTAATGCTCCACCATGACAATGCATCTTCTCATTCAGCAAGATTGGCAGTTGAATTTATTGAACAAAATGACATGAAAGGTGATAGAACATCCACTCCATTCACCTAATTTAGCTACGTGTGACTTTTGACTATTTTTGTATCTAAAAAAGAACATATCTGGACGTCGGTTTCATTCCGAAGATGGGACTGATGAAGCTACAAATGATTTTTTGTTCATCGTTTTCAAGAAATGAATGGCTTAAGGCATTTAATCTTTGGAAAATTCGCCTACAGAAGTGCATTGATGCTGGAAGAGACTATTTTGAACACCCCTAAAATTTCGTAAGTATAACTTTAAAAACCTATGTGTGTTTCAAATTTTTCAGAGTGATCCTCGTATACGTCTAAAGTTATCCTGTGCATAATAAAGAGTTTAGAGGATTTTAAAGCAAAAATTCGATCAATTACTGAAAACGTTGATATGGTTATTATGCAACGTTTGTGGTCAGTATTTGAAATTTCAGTAAGATGGTAAAACTACGAACACATTGCTCTTTAATTGCAGTGTAACAATTCCCAAACTTTGTTGGTTAAAAACACACTAAACTAAAGACTCGCGATACGTTGCTTATATATTATACCAATATTGCAAGAACATCAAAACTCAATTTAATATTTATTACTGATATGTTTTATTGAGTTTGTCATTAAGTGGTTTTATGACAAAGACATCTTAGTAATTAAGTCAAAATTTAAGTCATCTTCAAAAAGTACCGTTCAGTTTGCCTTTCATATTGCTAATCTTACTACAGGAAATGGTAATTCGCACAAGTACGAGCGTTGAAAACGAAAGCAATATTGTTTTGTTTGTTTGCAATTGTAAGGAATTTTCATTCCGCATAAATCCAAAAGCGTAATATTGGAATGTTTAGAAATCTTGCTTTTGCAGTTCTACCCAACGAGACGGCTCCTGACCAAAGCTGTCCTGTAGGACAATGAACAGGATAATACCATCCCGCGAAAGGAAGAAACCACTATCAGCGCACCAAATCCAAGGGCCGGGTGGCGAATCAGATGTGCTAAATTGAACTACAGCCATAAGAAAAGGAAGTTTTTGTTAGAAAGATTAGTGTGCCTTGTGCACTATAGGTGCTTCGTACGATTAGAAAACGAACACTGATTTGGGATGAACACTATGTCTTGAAGTGAAAATATAAAAAGCATTGAGTGGGGCGTGGAATTTTGGACTTTGAGATTTTAAATTTAAAGAACTAGCATATACACCACAAGCAAAGAGCACATGATATGTGAATAAACATAATTTGACAAAATTTTCATAAAGGAACTAAAAGTAACGAGAAGCTATTTTGACATCTCTAGCAAAGTTACAGAACTCTAATGTTAAAAATTAGAACAATTAAAAAAATATTGAAGAGTACAATGCTACTGTTAAACAAAAATACGAATAAACATTTAAAAATCCTATCGAAATAAAAAATGAACACTTAATATTAAAAAGAAGAGTTGACATTACATCTGGCTATGGTAAACAGTAATCTTGTTTTTACAGCAGGATTACTTCAAAATGTCAAGCAATTCAAACTTGCTAGATTTTAATTACATTAACAGCAGCGAAATAGCATTATACCGTGCTACATATGCACAATGAAAACATTATGTGGATTAGGTTAGAAATTATATTTTAAAGTAAGCGGTGTAAAAGTGATAAATATTTTGATAAATAAGTGAATTATTGATAATAATAATATTATACCCAAGTATACAAAATTAGGCTAAAAGGAGCACAAAATTTGCGCGAAAATGGTATTTAAAGTTCTAAAACATAAGCTGAAAACAAACGCAAGAGAAAGTCTCAAAAACTTATTCAATACGTTGTAGTAGAGAGAACCAGGACAAGGTGAAAATCAATAGTATTTACATTTCCAAGCTTTAAAAGCACTTGAAAAATACATTGAGTTTTAAGAAAGACGTAAAGGAGGACAGTGTATTTACATGCTTACAATATACATTTCATATATGCGCTCATATTTACAGTTCATTTCTAATATTAATTATATTCGATAATATATATGCATATATACAAGGTGCGCCAATTAAAAAAAACCAGACAATTTCTTATAAATGAGAAAAATATTACTAACCTTCAAATAAATTTTCCTCCTTCAAATTAATCCCCAGAGGAACCTGTACAATTTTCCAACGTTTCTTCAGGCCATCAAAATACCATTTAGAGGCGTGTATACGAGCCAGTTACCCTTAGAAAGTCCTCCACGAAGGCATCCCTTCACTTAGGCAGATAGCCCTAGTGTGCTTTGCCGTAATCTCAATAAACCAAAAACCAACCAATACCGTTCAGAGACGTTGGAAGTAACAGTTCACAAAATACGCCTAACATCTAATTTAATACTAATTCAGAAGTCAAACAACAAAAATCAGCGTTAATTTACAAAATTTTCACAGGACTAGTTTCGATGGTTTCGATGGGACCAACAGATGGCGCCACTTGCTTATTCTTGTCCAGGCTTTCTTATCTTATCTAAACATTATTTCCTATCTTGTTCATTTGCGGTTTTGCAGCTGAAGATGATGGTTCGGTAAAACCATCGAAACTAGTCCTGTGAAAATTTTGTAAATTAACGCTGATTTTTGTTGTTTGACTTCTGAATTAGTATTTATTCGGCGTGTTATTGTGTCTTAATTATCTAATTTAATATCTGAGATGTTTTCAAATCTTTGGCCTTTCCTGGCCATTTTAAGCTCAGAAGAAAGGAAAAAAATCAACTGCTGCTAAGTCGGGAGAATATGGAGGGTAGTTTATCATTGAAACTGAATGCTTAGCAAGATATTGTTGTACAGAAGCTGTATGGGACCTAGCATTATCGTGTGAAAGAAACCGAAGTCAAAAGTTTTCATCTTAACACACCTAATCCTGTTTCTTAATCGAAAAACACCTCCTTGTAAAAATACTTATTAATTGACTGATTTTGAGGAACAAATTCATGGTAAATAAATCTTTTGTATTCCGAAAATGCAATCAGCATCACCTTCATCTTTGGTTTCGACATCCGTGCTTTCCTTTTGTATGATTAATGGCAGTCTTCTTCACAGTGTACTTTGTCTTTTTTGCTTCTGGGGCGTACCGTAGACACAATATCTCATTTCCCGTTATGATATACTTTAAGAAATTGTTGTCCTGTCTCGCAGTAGTAAGCAAATCTTTACCGTAAGCATTTGTGCCTTCATTTTGCTGTTCCGTCGAAATCCGAGTCGCAAATCGACACAGCTTTCCTCATTTTCAATTAAGTGCAGCTTTCACTGTTCCAAGCAGGTTTGAAAGTTGCTGCTTTGTTACATGTGTATCAGCTTTTACAGAAGAAAGAATTTTCTGCACTTCAACTCTTCTGCGCCAAACATTTAAAGCGATTGTACCACTCACACATTTGTAACTATGTATGTAATATACCGGGTGGCCATAATTAAACTGACAGTGCTCACAGTGTTCTGTAGCGCGATCTATTTGCGAGAATGACGCCACATTTTGTAGGAAGATTAAACAAAACGGGGGACGAAGGATTCCGCGAACAAAAAAATTAGTTCCAAAAGTCACCGCTAGGGGAATATTTGGCTCTGTGTAATAGAAAATAGAGTGTTAACAAATGCAAATTAATACGGAATAAAATTACCTTTTACTATGGATATGCCTTATGGAATATGGATGTGAATTACAGTACGTCAGGGAAAATGTTACGAGAGATTATCAACTTCTATCCGTACAAGATCAGTCGTGTACAGGAGTTACTGTACCCCGACTGTGATAAGCGATTGGCTTTTTGCTCTCACCTTTCTTGGCCAGAATGGGAGGTGGATGCTTGGTGGGTGTGATGGATGATCTTATGGGGAGACGAGGCCCACTTTTACCTGAATGGAACTGTGAATACCCAGAACTGCCGAACTTGGGATGACAAATCACCACATGCAGTCACAGCAATTCCTTTACATTCACAAAAGGTTTGGTGTGGGTTCACAGCGGAATTGATCGCAGGTTCATTCTTTTATGAGAACATAACCCCAACAGGACCGGAAACCTGTTCTGTTACCGGAGAGAAATATCGATACATGTTGAACAGCTTTGTCATTCCGGCACTTCAGCAAAGACAATGCCTGGGGGAAATCATTTTTATGCAAGATGGAGCGCCTCCACACCTTGCTCTACGGGTGCAACAGATGCTACGACAGAAATTCACAACAGAAAGAGTCATAGCCACTACTTTCCAACTGATGGCACTCGGGGCCTGATCTTACCCCATGCGACTTCTGCTATGGGGTTACCTTAAGTCGAAGGTCCATCAGGAGTGGTCCAGGACCTGGCTACGTTGAAGGATAACAATGACGGACCTGTACGGGAGATTCCTGCAGACATGTACTTTCTGCTGTTGTTCATACTGTTAAGAATGCAATGTTGTGGTCCACAACAACGGCAGCCACATTTAACCTCATTTGAATGCAAAATAAAAGGTAATTTCCGTATTGATTTGCATTTGTTAACACTCTATTTTCTATTACACAGCGCCAAATATTCCCCTAGCGGTGACTTTTGGAACTAATTTTTTTTCACGGAATCCGTCGTCCCCCGTCTTGTTTAATCTTCCTACAAAATGTGGTGTCATTCGCGCAAATAGATCGCACTATAGAACACTGTGAGCACTGTCAATTTAATTATGGCCACCCGTTATATAATATTATACGCGTAATAATACGCTAGCTGCTTTAAGAAATAATTGGCGACCTCAAAATAACTATTCTAGATTTTATG